ACACCTTAATAAAGTCATTTTTAAAACATTCTGAAGTAAAAAATCAGGAGACTTTTCCATAAAAATCCAGATTCTGGCTCTCCTTGAATGCCAGGCATGTTTCTCCATGGCAACGATGAGCTGTCCCCGAGTCTACCAGAGTCCCCACACTGCCTGCTGTATCACACCTGGGCAGCTTTGGTGTCATCTGCATGGACCGTGTGGGTGTTGAACTCGAGACCAAAATGACCACAGGTGCCAAAGTTACCAGCCCTGGTCTCATGTCTGTCCGTAGACACACAGAGCCCTGGACCAGGAGGGTTGTGTGCGCGGGCGGTGGATGCACAGCGTGGTACACTGACTGCTCCAGGGATTTCAAAGCACATGAGCTTTGAAGCCAGAATCGCCACCGACCAGCTCAGAGCACCTCGGTTTTCTAAACTACAGAATGGGGACAATCACAGCAGCCACCATCACAGGGCTAAACTGAGGTGCTGTGCCCAGCATACACTTGGTGCTCAATAAATGTGAGCTACGGACTGCAATTTCTTGTCCGCAGTCTCCAATTCCAGGACATTCTGAAATCCATACGCTTTTTTCATGATTCATTTGGACACAAAAACCGGACTTGGCCGAAACTCCTAGAGAGCAAAGCCTGAGCCAACAGATGTGAGGCCACTTGTCACCTCTCGTGACACCCCTGGTGTGCTCATGCAGGTTTTCCTGCAGGAATAGGAATATGTCAGCTTCCAGGGTGCACCCATCTGGGGGAGTATGTCACCATCCAGAATCCAGAAACTTCTGAATTCTGGAACACTCCTAGCCCCAGGGGTTTCAGACCCCTGACCCAACCCTCTTTGCCTGACCTCGAATAAGACTGACTACATATGTCATTGTGGCACAGCCCCAGCAAAGACAGTGGGGACAGAGGCCTGGAGATTTCTGAAGACAAATCCAGAGCCCAGGGGGATGGACACTAGGATTAAGAGGGATACTCTGCAGGAAAGGGCTGGCCTGTCCCCGGCACACCTGGTTTGGGGTTGGGCTCAGCACTGGCCTCCTTCACTTTGGGATCTGGAAAGATTCCGCTGAGTCTGTGGGCACCTGAGGGGCTGGAAGAGGCTGGTGCAGAGGGCGACACCTGTAGCATCCAGAGCTCACAGGGACTCCCCAGGGGACCTGGCCAAGCGGCCCCAGCCCTCGTGCAAATTAAGACTTTGGTCCCAGATTAGGGAAGATCAGTCCTGGCCCCTCCCTCCCTCAAATGTTATCAATGGCTCCCATCTGCCCAAAGAAAACACAGCTGGGAGCAGAGGACAGCTCAGAGGCCCAGCTAGGCCACCAGTTGTATAAGAAAGAATTTGACTGGCTGTTGTCCCCGGTTCCTGGAAGGAAACTCTAATCTGTTATCCACCAGCCCCTTGGAGCCCGCCCCTGGGAGTTTATGCTAATGAGATGCTAATGAGATCACCCTATAAGAAGTTTGGGGCTTTGCACCAGCCTGACCCAGGGGAGGGCCCTAGAGACGGCCATCAACCAGGTGGCCAAGGCTTCCTCCCACCAAGCCCGTGCCACCAAATCCCCATCAACACTCTGGACACTAGAGCCCAGCGGGGCTTCCTGGTTGGAGAACACGCAACGTCCCAGACACAGCTCCAAAAAGTCAACCCTGAAAACAACCTGTCCACCCGTAAATGGGCAACTTAACCCCTGAGCCACATCCCTAGCCCTTTTAAAATATTTTATTTGGAGACAGGATCTCACTGTGTTGCTAAGGGCCTCTCGATGCTGCTGAGGCTCGCCTTGAACTTGCAATCCTCCTGCCTCGGCCTCCAGAACGGCTGGGGTTACAGGTGTGTGCCACTGTGCCCAGCCGATCCGCAGCAGGGCCATCCACGGCTCCCGGTCAACTTTGTGACCACAGGGAGGATGAGCCACGCTCTGCATTGCACTGGGGGGCTGAGCCTGGAGGATGGCAGAGTCCGTGTATTTAATGCATTTTCGACGGAGGATGTTTCCGACTTATGACGAGTGTCTGGAGGAAACCTCGCGGTGAGTTCAGGGGCATCCACACGGGCACAGATGGAGATGTCTAGCAAGGAGCAGGGGTCAGTGGATGGAATGTCACTTAAAAGGATACCTCGGGGCTGGGGTGCAGCTCAGGGACAAGGCACGTGCCTGGTGTGCGCAAGGCCCTGGGTTCAATCCCAGCACCACAGGAATTTTAAAAAATGGATAAAAAGACGAAACACCAGGGCTAAGCGGGGTTCTGGCAAAACCGCACAGGATTCCTACAGAAGGCAGGCCCGGGCCTAGCGAGGGTCCGGGACGGGCGTTGGATCAGGTATCAAGAGCAGGGCGCCTGCTAAACCGGACTCCCCGGGCCAAGGACAAGACCCAGTCAACAAGGGGACTCAGGGGGGCCTGATTCCAGTGGGACAAGTGAGAGAGGCCCTGCCACAGCTCAGCAGGTGGCCTGTATGACTAACCCAGCCAAGGGGTTGATTTGGCTAATTAATCCTAATAACCAGCTGAGCAGGGGCTGTCCCCAAACTCAGCGTCCTCCTCTGCTCTAGAGCCGCTGACCTTGGGCTGAGCTGGGCCAGCAGATGGCAGGAGCCAGGCTCTCCCCCGGCTTCCGGCTTCCGCGGCTGGCTGCCGTCCACGCCTCCTGCCCGCTCCTTCCCGGACAGAAGCACTTCCCTGCCCTGGTCGCAGGCCAGAAGCTAGGTCACCCCTCTGGGGCCCTTTGCACCGGTGCCCTGCTCTCTGAGGTGTCCCTGAATCCGGCTTCCTGGCCCTGTGGGTCAGACAGCTGCCACCTCCAAGTTGGTCTCCCTTCCCCACGCCTCTCTCCCAGGCGTGAATTCCAAGTCCCTCCCCTCCGCCACGTGCCACTTTGGTCTTAATATCTCATCTGCCTGCTGCGTGCTTCTCAGTTACTGTTTTCCACGGGACTTAAAAAATGAAATCTTCCCCCTTCCGCCCGGTCGCTTTGAAGCGGGCTGGAGGGGGGCTTCATCCCAGCTCCACAGTGAGCCAGCTGTGTGACCCCGGGCAAGTCAATTAACCTCCCTGAGCCCTGGATTGTTTATCTGCGTGGAATTATGGAGACAATCTTATTTAGTGGAGCAGCCAGACTCTCCACTGGGAGGAAAAGTGGATTTCAAAAAATTTTTTGAGGGTTGAAAACTTTGGTAAACCTTTGGAGGATGAGGGACGGGTCTCTGTCTCCTCGGCCACCAGGACCTTCTGTAGAACTGAGCCTGCGATGGTCCTGGGCCACAACCATCGTTCGTGACTGGAGTCACCAGGTTGAGGGGGAAGGCTGGGTGCTTGGGACCACCAAGAGGGTTCTTTGAAGAAGAGATGAAGGGGGTGACCGAGGGCCAGGATGCTCCACGCACAGCATGCAGACCTGCTCAAAGTGGACTAGTGGTCCTTCCCCTCCTGACCACATCGCCCCTTGCTCTGAATTCCTCAATGGCTCCCTATTGCGGGCCTGGTGAAATCTGAAGATCTCTGCGAAGCGTCAAGGCCCTCCCTCGGCTCTCAGTGCCATCTCTCAACAGCCCTCTTCCTACCCCCTACCTTCCTGTCTTTCTGAACTTCCTACAGGAAACTCCCAGACTCTGCCCCCCACCAGGCTGGGCCATGCCGCTGCCTCTAAGTTGCCCACGGAGTGGACTCTGCCTGCCCCTCCAGGCCTCGGCTCAAAGGCTGCCTTCCTCAGGCCCCACCCTGCCTGTCCCCACGCCCTGGGCAGAGGTCGGGTGGGCACCACACCAGGGGTTGCCAAGGTCCACACGCCAAGTCGTCACCATCTGAGCCCGTCCCTCTGCAGGACGGCAGCCTTCACGAGGCCTGAGCCTTCTTCCTCCTACTCCCTCCACCTCCCCGCACAGTGGCCGTGTGCAGCAGGCGGTCAATAAATGCTGAGCACATGAGAAACAGGTTCTCAGCCTCCAGGAGCTGGGAAGGGGCGGGCGGGACCCCCGGTCATTATGTTGTGGTGGAGATTCAGGCCACACGCGGCTCCTCGGCGGGATGGAGGGCCACCAGGCCACATGTCACTGTGCATCCTGGAACCAGCGCTCAGGGGCACCTTTGATTCCCTCTGACACACTCTCCACCTAGGGGTCACCCCAGGCCCTGGGCAGCAGGCCACCGGATCCAGGGGCCTTTCCTTGGCGCCCTGTGGCTGCACTTCTCTGAGTGGCACGATGCTGGTGACTGTCCCCTCCTTCCTGAAACCCTCGAAATCTTTGCCTCTGAGGTCTTTTCCGGCAGTCTCTGACCCCCCACACCCCCCTCTAGCTTCTGTGTGTTTGACCATCTGCGTCCTACTCAGCATCTCCCGGTGGAAGGAAGGGTCAAAGGCCAATAAACAGAGGCGGAGGAGTGATGTGGGTGTCCTCCACCCCAGTGAGCGCCCTCTTCTTCTTCTTTTTATTTTTGTACCAGAGATTGAACCCAGAGCCGCTTTACCACCGAGCCACACCCCCAGGCCTTTTTTAACATTTTATTATTATTATTATTTTTTTTTTTTTTTTTTTTTTTTTATTTTGAGACAGGGTCTTGCTAAGTTGCTTAGGGCCTCACTAAGTTGCTGAGGCTGGCCTCCAACTTGTGGTCCTCCCGCTCGAGCCTCCCACATCGCTGGGATTACAGGCGTGCCTCGCTGGGCCTGGCCCTTCTTCTTTTTCTAATTGGTGTGCGCACACAAGGGTGCCTCATGCATCCTGGGCAAATGCTCTACCACTGAGCCATAACCCCTGCCCCACAAAAGCCACCACGACCCACCCATTCTATGAAGCCACCCTCTCCGCCTGCGCCCTGGATCCGCCCATCGCCAAGCTGTCAGGCTCCGAGGGGCGGGGCTGGGGGCGGGGCTCCTGGAGCCCCAGGACTCCGCCCGGCTCGCTGCGCGGGACGGACACGCCCCTCAGCGTGGGTCCCGGGGCTGCGCTCCCTGCGGGCCGCTGGCTGCCCGCCCCGCCCCGGGCCGCGACCAGTCCTACCTGAGAGCACCGTGAAGACGGCGGCGAAGGCGTTGAGCTTGAGCCCGTCGATGACGCTGCTCGAGTGGAAGAGCTCGAGGCACATGAGGCTGAAGCCGACCACCAGCAGGAGGATGTAGAGCACCTCGGAGACCACCGACAGCCACAGCACCCCTGCAGAGGACAGCAGAGGCCCCGGTGAGGGCCGGCTCCCCGACGGTCCCCGCGGATGGAGGGACCCGCCGCGCCGCCCTCTCCAGGGACTGGATGGGAACCCAGCAAAGCCAGCCGGGGTGTGGCTGCCTCCGCTGACCGCTACTGGCCAGGGCAGGGTGCGACCCACCAAGGGCCTCTCTCCTTTATCCCCGGGCTGCGTGGCTCGGGTGGGGCCAGGGCTGAGCTGCAGAGGTGCGAGCAGATGGCCTCCCTGGGGGGCTTTGTCTGCAGGCTGACCAAGTTCCCCGGTGCTGACCAGAGGGCATAGGGTTCTCTGTCACCTGCGGCCCTAAGAATCCCGAGTCACATCCACACATCATGCTGCCCTCCAGGGACACCTACACCTTGACCTGCCCTGTGTCCTTCCTGCTTTTTTCTAGAAGTCACCCCTGCTATTCCCGTGACTTCAACCTGGTAATTCTCCCAGCTATTATGTCCCGTCCTCCCAGATGCAGCCGATTGGTCCAGTCTGATCATCGGACCCAGAACGGACCAATCAAAGCCCTTCTCTAGGAATCTGAGCAGGGAGCCACAGAGACAGACCAGGAGAAAAGAGCTCAGAAGAGAGTCAGAGCAGGTGAGCGCCTGGATCCAGCCATTCCTGAAGGCCAGCTCCACTCTGGGCCTTCTAGTGGTTTAGCTATTCAAATTTTGTCTTCCCCAAGACAGCACGGCTTCCTTTCCCCCACAGGGCTGCTTAGTTTAGGGGGCATCTGCTGTTCCTCTACCCCACATTCTTCCCTTTTCTTCCTACATCCTTTCTTCCAGTCTTGGTGGTTGAGTTGCTGCTAACCCACATCTTGGCTCCAAGTTTGGGGCACAGGGCTCTTAACTAGCTCCATGTCTCTCAGTCTGCAGTTTGAGCTCAGGAATGACTCTCCCTCTGAGCCTCAGTTTCTTTCTCTATGAAATGGGTATTTATTTGTATTCCAAGATCCCAGGATCAGCACACAGGGAAGGCTTGCATCCTGTGTATTATTACAGTGGTCCTATGGGAGAACATGGTGGGGACACGGCCAGTGGGCGGGACATGGAGCTCAGGAACCCTTGACCGAGGGAGATGGAGACCCACAGACAGATTCAAGAGTGAGGAATGAAGCCCATGATTTCTGAGAATCGGGGGGAGGCGAGGAGAGGGAACTGTAGGCACACTTGTGTAGCTGGCTCTGCAAGCCCCACTAGCCGGGGGTTCAAGCAAGACCCAGGCTTTAGAAAAGGGACAGGGACCAGGCCTGACTGGTCAGAGATGGCCCCAGGACTCAAGTCAGTTTCATGAGCCTGGGCTACAGGACTTTTGCAGGATCTCGCAGGAAAGAGACGCCCTTTCTTTCTGCCAGGTTGGAGGTTGGAAGGATGGAACCAGCTGAACTGTGTGGGAGCAGAACCTTCCTGAAGGTGAGGTGGATGTCAAGCTGAGACAGGGCGGGAGAGTGTATCCCGATGACGCTGTCTGGTGCCCGCGATCCAGCCAGGCCCAGGTAAGCTTGAGGGAGGACTCACATCACTCTCCGTTGCTGTCCTCTGAAACCGTCCTGTGTGTGTTCTTTCCGACCTCTGCGGCTCCCCGTGGTGCCCCCTCCCATGTGAAAACGTCCCAGGGAGCACCCAATGGATCCTGTTTACTAAATGAAGCAAACAAACAGCTAATTCTGGGCCCCCATCTGTTTGCTAAAGAAAAATCCAGATTCTGAAACACCCACTATCCTTTCGAACAAATGGGGCTTTCAGAGTTTGGGGAGAACTTTTCTCTTTCTCTTTCTCGTTTTGCTACAAAAATATCGCGTCTCCTGAGCAATCCCTTGGATTTCTGAGAGAGAAGAGTGCGCTCTTGGCAGCCGGGCGCTGTTGGAACACTCCCTGGCACGGGTGCGCAGCTCCGGGGCCCTCGGCTGGCCCAGCGCCCACCAGGCAGCAGGAGGGAGGCAGGGAAGCGAGGGGAGCCGGGCCGTGCCAGGAAGCTGGCTGCCCAGGACGGGTGACAGCCCCGACTCGGGAGCCTCCCGGGGGGCCTTGTCCCAACCCACATTGGCCCTGGGCCAGGCGTCCCTCCCACGTGCACGCACAGTAGGGCCCTGCTCTGCTCTTTCAGATGGGAGGAGGGGGTGGGTGCCACCTGGGGGGGGTGCAGCCCAGGGACAGCAGGAGCCCAGGGTGGCCATGTGGCCTCTTTCGCCCACTAGCTCCTCTCTGAGATGGGCAGTGAGCCCGGCCCTGTCACAGGCCGGCCAGGATCGGGTTCCTCAGTCCTGCTGCCTGGCTAGATCCGTTCCTGTGCCTTCTGACCGCTGCAGGCTGGAGCATGTTTGAAAGTCCCCAACCCCTGTCCCCAAGCCACCGAGCATTGCGAGGACAGCAGCTATGATGATCATCACCGGGTTTCTGCTGAGGGCAGCAGCCAGGGTCACAATACAGCTTGACAGTTAGGAGGTGATTGTGACGTGCCTGGTCCCCATGACCAATGCTCATGACCCATCTCCTGGACACTCTTTTCAGTGTTTTTAGTCTTTGGAGAATTATTTTGGGGCGACGGGACCCCACTTTGCTCATCTTGGCTCCGAAAGTGCCTGGGAACTTACATGTCCCTCTCTGGGCGGTCATCAACCTGCGTGTGACCAGTGGGGCCCCGTCCTGGGGCTCTAGCTGGGGCAACTCTGAGGTGACCCACACTGTAGGGAGGACCTGGCCATTGTCCACCTTAATTCCCTTTTGTCCCTCCAACCCGTTCTGAGTCACTTCCCTTCCCCGGCTTATCTCAAGTTCCAGAATCAGCGAGCCCCGCAGGCCGATCACCGGGCAGGGGACCAAAACTGTCCCCTTAGCATTGATGTCTTCCTGGCACACGTAGGACCCTGCTGTCGCAGACCGAGGGGACAGTCCAGCAGACCACAGTTTGACCAGGACGTCTCGATGACACATTTCTTGTTCCACCTGCTCTAGTTCTTTCCCTGGGCAACCCTGGAGCTGGGCAGGTCCCCTGCCTCCTCCCAGTGTGGCCACAGCGAATGAACTAGGTTCTGGAGCCAGGCCTCTGTCCCCAGGGGCTATGCGAGCTTGGCTGGTGCCAGGGAGATGGTTATTGTCTGGTTCCCACCATGAACCACCTCCCTCCGGTCCCCAGCTCCCTCCCAGTGTCCCCTGGCAGCAAAGACCTGGATGCAAATCCTGATGCTGTGGAGGCCGGGCTTGACTTGGGCACACAGGCCAGTGAGGCCCTCTGAAGGGTCTCTGCAGGGGGACAGCTGAGAAGGGACAGAGGAACCTGGTGACGGGGAGCCCTGCCAGGGTCTCTAGCCTCTCCCTGCCCTCAAGATGACGGGGGACGGGCTGTGGCCACGATAAAGTTGAACACAAGCGGTTGAACCCGAAGACCCCGCGGGTGTTGTCCCGCAGCCGTGGACAGGCTCTGGGAGGTGTTTGCTGATGTGGACGGCGATGGTGGCTGGAGGCTGGGAGCCAGTCAGTGCCTCTGAGAGGCCCGTGGGGCACTAGAGGGCAGCTGGGGGAGGGACCCAAGAGGACAGCATTACTAAAAGGGAGGGGCCGGGGGCCACGGAGGTCCAGCAGATGCCACGGGGAGGCCCGGCTGCCCACAGCCCCTGGGGTGCGCCACCACTTTTCAACCCCTGCATCACTCTGCCCAGGGATGCCCTGGCCACCAGTGCCCACTGTGCCCACCACGAGGGCTCCGTGTTGCACTGAGGTGGTGCCCAAGTCCCTGAGGTGGGTCCTACTGGGACGCAGTCAGCACCTGTGTCTTCCCACGGATGGTTTAATGCTGAGTCACAACATAAAATTGTCACAGCCAAACAGCGAAGGAGCCAGTCACTCCGGCCATGTCTGAACCTCTTCTTTCCTCCGTGGGAAGGGGCGTGTGGTGCTGTGTGTCCCCCACACCTTCTGACATTTGGGCATGATTTTGAAGCCGAGCGTGGGCCCCCGGCTCAGAACCTTCCTGGCCAGTCAGTGTGACCGTGTGAGCCACCTCCTGGGCTGAGGTCCTCCGTCACCCCACCCCGGCACCCCTCTCTGTGTGCACCCTGCTCTGTGCCCAGGGCGCTGACCTGCCCATCTCCCTGCTGCTGGGTGGGAGAAGCCCGGCTCACCCTCCCGGAGCATCCCTGGTTGGACTTTGTCCTCCTGCCTGTGACTTCCACTCCCGGGGTCCCCCACCCCAGGTCGGGGCTCACTGGCTCTAGATCACTGCCTCCACCCTTCCCCGCCTGCCTCGGGGAGTAGCAGCTCCCCACTGTTGGACTTGGGGGCCCGATTCCCAGCCCTGCCCTTCCTCGGTTTATCAGCCGCCTCCATTCCAGCCACCCGGGCTGGGTCCCCCCCTGACTCATGTCGTGTCATTGCAATAAATCCCCGTCCCCTGATGGAGCAGGATCCAGGCCAGCGCTCCAGGTTTGCTCCCGACCGGCAGCCTCAGGGTTGCCAGGAGATGGTGGTGCAATGTCGGGGACTTCACCCACCGGGGACCTGCTGGAGGAGGGTCTCGGTGACGGAGCCCCTGCTGCGTCCTAAAGCCCCCATCCCGCCCCCCGCGGTGGGGACACGCGCTCTGATCCGAGATCCACTAACCTAAGGCTCTTTTTAAAGCGGACGGCGCATGCGTGAACGCAGAGATGGGAAGGGACACCCCAGGGCCCGCGGCAGGGATATGGGAAGGGACACAGGGCCCGCGGCTCATTGGAGGCTCATCGCTGTGGCCATGCGGGGCAGACGTTCCATAATCACAGAGATGATTGTCCCCAGCCTCCAAAACCTGCTACTAATGGCTCGATTTGCAGAGGAGAATGGGTGACCTCCGGGGGCAGAAGGAGTGAAGTGATCTGTCACCGGGGGCAGGGCCCGTGGGTGACAGCCCGCCCTGCTGCCTGCACTTCTTGCCTTTTTAAAAAAATGGCCTGGGAGCCCAGGAGCCCAGGAGGCCAGCTCTGGTGGAGTTGATGGGTTTA